GCTTTAGTTTATTATAATCCACCATTGCTAGGGTTATAAGAGACAATTAGAAGAGTGAGAGGAACTACTTTCTTTTGCCACAGATTAAGTGTCTTGCTTTGGTACAGCTGAAGCCTTCCTGGCTAGTGCAAAAGAGTCATTTTAAAACTAACAACAGCGGATTGACTAGATAAATCCTCATTTCCACAACACACAGCTTTGGTCAAAAACTGAGAAGCTGAATAGTTTGAAAAACACACACAGTAGTCGCCAAAGAGGATGTCCAGCCAAGGAAACCCGACATCTTTGCCCTTTATTCAAAGCAATTAATAAAAATATATTGAGGATTTTGAAAGCATATGATGTAGTTGTGCTTGTAGAGTAAAACTGGAGTGTTCATGCTGCAACGGCTGGATTGGAGGATCTATTAGCAGCGAACATTGTTTATTTGCAATATTTACATGGACAATTAGAGACACAAAACTCAGGTACAGATGAACGTAACGGCTTTACACAAATTAGCAAAGACAATACTGAACAATGAACAGAAGAAACTGATACACAGGAGAACGAGAGCTCAACAAGACACAGGTGCGCAACATAATCAGTAACCGTAGAAACCATAGAAACAAACTAGTGACCAGAGCCATGGCAACAGGAACGAACACACAGGAAACGCATCACTGTGGCAGGGGTTAGCTGTATCATTAGTAGGGCTGTCAATAGACTACATTTTGAATCTTGAGTTCATAGTTCATACGTTCATTTTTTGAAGTATGAACTATGAACTGAACTAGTTCACTTTAAAATTTGTGAACTGAACTTTGAACTAGTTCATGTAGAAAATGAACTTTCCCAACACTGCTTGTAATAATGTACAGGGAGGCTTCAGACATAAAAACGCTGACTCATTAGGTAATCTTTTCTCATTAAAATCTGATGATTTCCTATTAATTCAATAGAATGTGAGGAAATACCACAGAATACCAATACGGCAGCGTAGTAGCTTTGCTTTTTATGACGTCATGAGCAATCCAGTCATTTGTAGTGGCTAAACCGGTGTATCAGCATCCATGATGACTTAAAATAAAAATAAGATTGCAACCTTACGTCAGATGATGCACAGTAGTCAGATGCATATACTATTTTGTGATTTGGTTAACTGTATGGATTTTACAGATTAACTGTATAGTGCTTTTATTATCCATCTCCCATGTTTGCGACGAGCGGGACAGGGACAGAGCATGTATCCTTGCTTCATGGTGCAGATACTATAAAGCTAGTGGTCACAGTGCTGGACTATATGCTGTTTCATCTGGTTAATATCCAGTAGCTGATGTTCACTTATGGAGATCTGAGATATTTGAAGCTATTAGAGCAAAAACAGTATAAACTTCTGCATCACTTACCCTTCAGTGCATGACCGAAATCTGGTTTGTCAGGCCCATATGCCATCCTCGTCATCCTTAAACAAACACACAACATATTACTATATATATATAGAAATACCCCGGTACACAAAACACTACATACATTTCACTTTCTGATTCTAATTCAAAGTCCTAATGATAAGATATCACACACAGGGCCCTATCTTACACCCAGCGCAATTGACTTTGTACACAACGCATGTATCATTCCTGTTTTGCCCCCGACACACAGCGGACTCTTCCCTCCACAGACGCACGGCGGACTCTTCCCTCCACAGAAGCACGGCGGACTCTTCCCTCCACAGACGCACGGCGGACTCTTCCCTCCACAGACGCACGGCGGACTCTTCCCTCCACAGACGCACGGCGGACTCTTCCCTCCACAGAAGCACGGCGGACTCTTCCCTCCACAGACGCACGGCGGACTCTTCCCTCCACAGACGCACGGCGGACACTTCCCTCCACAGACGCACGGCGGACTCTTCCCTCCACAGACGCACGGCGGACACTTCCCTCCACAGACGCACGGCGGACTCTTCCCTCCACAGACGCACGGCGGACTCTTCCCTCCACAGACACACAGCGGACTCTTCCCTCCACAGACGCACGGCGGACACTTCCCTCCACAGACGCACGGCGGACTCTTCCCTCCACAGACGCACGGCGGACTCTTCCCTCCACAGACACACAGCGGACTCTTCCCTCCACAGACGCACGGCGGACACTTCCCTCCACAGACGCACGGCGGACACTTCCCTCCACAGACGCACGGCGGACTCTTCCCTCCACAGACGCACGGCGGACTCTTCCCTCCACAGACGCACGGCGGACTCTTCCCTCCACAGACGCACAGCAGTAAATTAGGGAATGAACTTGCGTTCCCGGGGCGGTTCAGCGGAAAGTGCAGTTGTGCAGTTCCAGAAAAGCCTAGTCTAAAGTCAGTGTCGCGTTATTCAGATGTTATTAGAAGGGCGCATGCTTGGCCATGATGTAGCGTGTGCACAGCGCACATACACTTCGCTTCTCTCATACACACAGACGCACCAGTTCTCATTTTTGCAAACCATACATAATTACAAGGAAAAATATTCCACAAGAGGGAAATCATTGTGGTGTCCATGAAGATGTGAAAAAATAGGCATAAATCTGTGTCATAAATCTATACGGCTCTTTAACCGAAGCTAATCTAAGTGGGTTTCTCCATCCCCATACAACGCCACTTCTCTGTGTTTTACGGCCCTGACGAGAACGCCGTCTCCTCGGCTGAGAACCGTTCCTAGCGCGCAACGGGCAAAAACCGCCGTTATAATAGCAATCCGTCATGGAACAAGCGCGCCTGCTCTTAATGGGAATGTGAGACGACGCTCTGATTGGTTTATTGCACGTTATGCCCAAACCACACCTATAAGTAATGTAACGACCTCAGACCAACACATTTTAGATTAGTGTCGGGCGCAAGAGTCGTTTATCCCGCCAGTATGATAGCGACAGCGCGAGATCCGCCCATGAAATTATCTGTGTTTCGCGTTTGATACTTGCGTTTCAGATCGTTAAGATAGGGCCCGGAGTGTGTTTGTGTAAGAGTGTGTTTGTGTGAGAGTGTGTTTGTGTGAGAGTGTGTTTGTGTGAGAGTGTGTTTGTGTGAGAGTGTGTTTGTGTGAGAGTGTGTTTGTGTGAGAGTGTGTTGTGTGAGAGTGTGTTTGTGTTAGAGTGTGTTTGTGTGAGAGTGTTTGTGTGAGAGTGTGTTTGTGTGAGAGTGTGTTGTGTGAGAGTGTGTTTGTGTTAGAGTGTGTTTGTGTGAGAGTGTTTGTGTGAGAGTGTGTTTGTGTGAGAGGGTTTGTGTGAGGTTTGTGTGAGAGTGTGTTTGTGTGAGAGTGTGTTTGTGTGAGGTTTGTGTGAGAGTGTGTGTGAGAGTGTGTTTGTGTGAGAGTGTGTTTGTGTGAGAGTGTGTTTGTGTGGGAGTGTTTGTTTGTGTGAGAGTGTGTTTGTGTGAGTGTGTTTGTGTGAGAGTGTTTGTGTGTTTGTGTGAGAGTGTGTTTGTGTGAGAGTGTTTGTGTGTGAGAGTGTTTGTGTGAGAGTGTGTTTGTGTGAGAGTGTTTGTGTGTTTGTGTGAGAGTGTGTTTGTGTGAGAGTGTGTTTGTGTGAGAGTGTGTTTGTGTGAGAGTGTGAGTGTGTTTGTGTGAGAGTGTTTGTGTGAGAGTGTTTGTGTGAGAGTGTGTTTGTGTGAGAGTGTGTTTGTGTGAGAGTGTGTTTGTGTGAGAGTGTGTTTGTGTGAGGTTTGTGTGAGAGTGTGTTTGTGTGAGAGTGTGTTTGTGTGAGAGTGTGTTTGACCTGCTCAGGCTCCGGCTCCGGTGGGGGTGAGATCAGTTCTCGCTGCTGTCCGTGATGAGAAGGATGATGGGAATACTGTGGATGTTCTGCCATGTGCTTCATCCTACTATGACCCTGATGGACAGGATCAGTATCAAATTATTGATTTAAATGTTAATACATAGTAGCTAAACACACTTAAGTGGGAACCAAATACCAATAAAAACTGTCACAGTAGTGCGTGTAGTTTAAATCCACAAAGACAAGATGTGTGACCCAGAATGAACAATACCAAGAAACTTTAATAAACACAGAGAACTAGAAAATACTACAGTAGCCTGTAACATTAATGACAGAGAACTGAGAACTGAGGAAACCGAGGACTTATAAACAGAGATGATCGTTATCAGAAACAAGAAACAGGTGAGAATCAATTAGAAACCATGGTAACAAACTAGGAATGAGAACCCAGGCAACTGGTGACATAGAAAAAGAACCAGAACAAGATACACACCCTAAACATGACTGTGACACGTGTCTCTATAGCATTTGAGCTCCGAACACAACCGAAAGAGATTCTAGGATCATTGGAAAGCCAGACAGACTAGCAGGATCGAAAGATACTTTTTAAAAAGTTTATTATCATTGTGTTGGTATCTGTAGAAAATCAGTGATGGTCATCAGAAGTGGTAAAGCTCCTCAAACATGTTCTCAAAATGAACATAACAGCAAAGAGAAAAACAGGGTTTGTAACTCTTCCCGCTTCCAATTTCATCCGAATAAAATACACAATAATAACAACACAAAACCTGTTGAGATATAGGCTGCACATCCCTAGTATGATAGTGACAGTACACTCGTCACAGAGCATTCACTCAATAATCATGTGTGTGGACGGCACAGCAGTTCCCATCTTTCCCTCATTGAAGGATTGCTGACTCATGAGCGGTGATAAACAGATAATGGCTACTTCCCTGAAATTCCTTCTCTCATTCCCAACTGTTTACAAGTCATGTGTTTGGCCTAGAGACCACATTCCCACAAAACTCACTCAGACACTGACTCACAAACAGTCTAATAGCTTACTACATTACTGTATGTTACCGTTAATGTTTATTACTAAATATTTATTAAACCTTTGTGAATAACTCAATGAGGCACTGGAATGAAATGCACTGAATTCCAGATGGAAAGTGCTCTCAACCGGTGTCCTAACCAGCCATGAGTGACATTTAAGTGACACGTTTGACCAAAACTGTGCTCCTTATTATGAGTTAAACATCAAACATGGACAAGTGATTCAGAAGCAGAGACTGTGACAAATCCCACAACACATGCCGTCTGAAGGAGCATCAGGGAACTCATAAAAACACAAGCTATGCTGCGTGTTCACCATTAGTTGTATGCATTTCATCGATGAAGAGTGATCAGTGAGCGAGTGGCCAGAAATCGAGCACACTTTCACACACTGATTTGATTGGCTGTGTCCAGCATTTTCATATTTAGTTTGCAATCTTGTCATATTGCGCCTGGTTAAGACAGTGTAACATCTTTCACAAGTTCGTCTGCCCATCCAGCTTGAGGAGTGGTTACGGACAGAGGAAGAGTTTACCTGAGTCAGGAGACGACAGCTAACATCAGCTTTACAGACTTTTAACATCATTTCAGCTCAAAACTCATTTTGATATTTGAATGCCTTCAGTCTGTGATCCGATGTGGATTCTGATCACCGTATAAGGGAGAAATATTTATACGTGATGCAAAAGACTAGTTCCCAAACCATTACCATAGTAAACATGGTAAATATGACCGCTTGAAGAAATCAGACAGATCATAAAGGCTATCATAATCATGTTTTTATTTTATCTGTCAGAATGTCTCGTCTCTTTATACCGGACTGTCTGATATCCATATTTAGCTCTGCATGTGTCATAAAATAAAGCAACTCCTGTTTTCCGGGAGCTTCTCTGTGTCTCTGACTGAAATATAACTCTACTGGGAGAGTGATAAAGCTCCTCAGGTCGTGTTTTTGGTGGAAAATGATCATTCTTTCTAAATGTGATAAACATACTCACCTGTGACTAAATAAGTACGTCTGTCATCTTTCTTTTGTGAAATAACGGTATACCACTTTATTTCTGTGTGACTAATGTGCAATCTTGACACAAGTTAACTCATTAGGACAAATGTGTCACTTTTTACTGTAAACCTGTGGTGAAACATCAGCGCTTGGGTTTTAAATCTTCAAGTAAACAACAAAAATGCCAGCAAACGGTCACTTTTATCATGTTTTTTTTTTTTTATCATTTTGCTAGTTTCCAGTGATTTCTTTCTGATTAGCTTTCTGATAAAACTTCCGCTTGTTGGTGAAGTGATGTGTGTGTGTGACGTTGATCCAGAGAGGTGTGTTACGGGCGGGCTTTAGTGTCTATTGTCTATAGTCTCTAGACTGCGGCTTATATACGGTCGTAGTGATGATTGACAGAACTGGGTGATTAGGAACTTCATATATATTACTCACTTACATTGAAAGAATAAAACCACAGGGGGAATGAACTGACCTGTTGTTTCGGGTGATTCCTGAACCTCTCCTTCTCTCTCCTCAAGGTCATCACATCTTCAGGGGTCGACATGTTCCTGACGGGAGAAAGTTCTCGTGGATCCTGTTCTCCGGCGGCCAGAAGAGCCTGGTGTCTGATGGGAAGGGGAGGGAGGGGGTTACGGCATACGGTAAACCATTACTTAAATAGAAGCAGACACAAACACCAAATACAGTAAACACACACACACACACACACACAACGAGAACACAGCAGGAGCGTTTCGGTGATAACTCACAGTCCCCCGCTCTCTTCCTGTGATCGGAAGAATTGAGGCTGTGCATGGTGCACAATTATACCCAAACGGTCCGGCAGGGAATCTTAACAAACCGCTGCCATTAGACTTCTCAAAACATATCCCTCTCTCACACACACACACACACACACACACACACACACACACACACACACACACACACACAAACACACACACAGAGAGAGAGAGAGAGAGAGAGAGAGAGAGAGAGAGAGAGAGAGAGAGAGAGAGAGAGAGAGAGAGAGAGAGAGAGAGAGAGAGAGAACTATTGTTTGACGCAACCGCAACAACTGTAATTATTCTGCAGGTATTAAGCCACTTTTCCTTTGTAGGCTATTGTTTACATATTTTTCTCTTATTTTTGTTTGTATACATTTTGCCACGCATATTCAAAGGCATTGTTTTGATCACAATCTCTTTCCCAGAGCACAAATGAGTTCACTTTATTTATTAGACCAGGTTTGTTTTTTAGGTATCTGGGAGTCATTAGCGTGAGCTGTAATGAGGAGAAGTGTTCAGAGGAGAGGGAAGGAGAACAGCACATGCGGACTTAAAGGAATAGTTCACTTAAAAATGAAAATTCTGTCATCATTTACTCACCGTCAAGTTGTTTCAAACCTGTATGAGTTTCTTTCTTCTGCTGAAAACAAAAGAAGTTATTTTGAAGAGCGTCGGTAACTGAAAAGTAGATGGACCCCATTGACTTCCATAGTAAGAAAAAAAATACTGTGGAAATCAATGGGTCTAGTTAACTGTCTGGTTACCAACATTCTTCAAAATATCCTCCTTTGTGTTCAACAGAAGAAAGAAACTCATACAGATTTGAAACAACTTGAGGGCGAGAAAATGATGCCAGAAATGTCATTTCTAAGTGAACTATTCCTTTAACAGCAGTTTTTGTCAGTGTAATTCGGTTGGGAGCTACTTAAAAAAGTAGTTTGAATTCACATTCGCAACAATGCCAAACACGCTTATGTCTATTGTGTAAGATAAAAGTAATGTGCAAGTTTAGACACCACGTATCAAATAAAAGAAGTGATTATCGACTGGTTCCAATCTGTGGCTGATCAGTTTTTACAAGACTCTCCGGCCCAGACCCAAAACAGTGATGGACAAGAATTTTTACCAAAAATTTACACAAAAAAAGTTTATATTAAAAGTAAATATTTCTCCCTACTTGATATGAACATAAAAAGGCTAGATCAGATGTTTTAACAGGCTATTTATTTTACATTTAGACACGCTTGTGTTCGGTACACTGAAGGCCTTGGGTCTGAGGAACACACTGGAGGTTCAGGTTTATCTCTTCAGAAAAGTGCGGACCATTTTTATATTTTACTTTAGTACATAATCTAATAATCAAAACTCTCATCATGAGGACAAAACAAAGTTAACTAGTAATTTAAAAGTTTTTCTTTCCCTGCCAACTCTAAATAATTTTCCAAATTCTAACATTGTTTATTATGAAATGCTCTTTATATGCTGAGTAATAATGCTGAATGTATGAAAGACACATCTAAAGACGCCACACATTAACTTAGTCTCGGGTTTAGTTGAACGGTCGGAGTCATCTGGGTCATTTGTAGTCATTTTCATTTTCTGCAGTGTTTTAGCGAAAGTGTGTATTTTGCTGTCCACCTGTTTCTGCTTCTGTTGAAATTAATCTTGTAGCTTTTTACCAGAACCATGAGGCGCTGCTCAAATAAAGAACACACACTTATGGAAGGAAAGGTTGCACAGGAATCAGAGGAACATGAACACTGACGGGTCAGCGCTGTTGAAAGAGAGGTCAGAGGAACATGAACACTGACGGGTCAGCGCTGTTGAAAGAGAGGTCAGAGGAACATGAACACTGACGGGTCAGCGCTGTTGAAAGAGAGGTCAGAGGAACATGAACACTGACGGGTCAGCGCTGTTGAAAGAGAGGTCAGAGGAACATGAACACTGACGGGTCAGCGCTGTTGAAAGAGAGGTCAGAGGAACATGAACACTGACGGGTCAGTGCTGTTGAAAGAGAGGTCAGAGGAACATGAACACTGACGGGTCAGCGCTGTTGAAAGAGAGGTCAGAGGAACATGAACACTGACGGGTCAGCGCTGTTGAAAGAGAGGTCAGAGGAACATGAACACTGACGGGTCAGTGCTGTTGAAAGAGAGGTCAGAGGAACATGAACACTGACGGGTCAGCGCTGTTGAAAGAGAGGTCAGAGGAACATGAACACTGACGGGTCAGCGCTGTTGAAGACAGGGTTCCTTTGCTCACTTTAACCGCAGGATCTCTGCGAGCTGTTGACTGTGGTCGTCTCGTAACCGGCTCAGCTCAGCGTCGTGTGCAGAAAGAGTGTTCTGTGTAGAAGACAGCCGCTGCCGTGTGGCGTCCAGCTCTCTCCTGGTGTTGTCCAGAGCCGCCATCAAACCCTCCAACTATGAGAAGAAGATTATATATATACACACAGCTGTTTATCACACAATATCCATGTAAATCCTTCAGTATTCATCACTGTTGTTCTGACAGAAGACTGGTCAGTGTGAACTACACTTTCCCCATTGCAGAAATCCCCAACCCTGGGGAATGCCAGGAAAGCTCTGCTAAAGACCCGGATAAGGAATCCATACTAAGATATACACATATCTTAAAAATAGTCTTAAATCTACAACTCAATAAACTTTATCTATTCCAAGATAAACTGGGTGTGAATAAATCAGCAATATAAAGCCACGTTTCTGAGGACAGTTATAATGTGAGAACTGAACGAGGACTCGTACCTGTGTGTGAGTGTTGGGAACGAGGACTCGTACCTGTGTGTGAGGGTTGGGAACGAGACTCGTACCTGTGTGTGAGTGTTGGGAACAAGGACTGTGTGTGAGTGTTGGGAACGAGGACTCGTACCTGTGTGTGAGTGCTGGGATTGAGGACCCGTACCTGTGTGTGAGTGTTGGGAACGAGGACTCGTACCTGTGTGTGAGGGTTGGGAACGAGGACTCGTACCTGTGTGTGAGTGTTGGGAACGAGGACTCGTACCTGTGTGTGAGTGTTGGGAACGAGGACTCGTACCTGTGTGTGAGTGTTGTGAACGAGGACTTTGTGTGAGTGTTGGGAACGAGGACTGTGTGTGAGTGTTGGGAACGAGGACTCGTACCTGTGTGTGAGTGCTGGGATTGAGGACTCGTACCTGTGTGTGAGTGTTGGGAACGAGGACTCGTACCTGTGTGTGAGTGTTGTGAACGAGGACTTTGTGTGAGTGTTGTGAACGAGGACTGTGTGTGAGTGTTGGGAACGAGGACTCATACCTGTGTGTGAGTGTTGGGAATGAGGACTCGTACCTGTGTGTGAGTGTTGGGAATGAGGACTCGTACCTGTGTGTGAGTGTTGGGAACGAGGACTCGTACCTGTGTGTGAGTGTTGTGAACGAGGACTTTGTGTGAGTGTTGGGAACGAGGACTCGTACCTGTGTGTGAGTGTTGGGAACGAGGACTGTGTGTGAGTGTTGGGAAAGAGGACTTGTACCTGTGTGTGAGTGTTGGGAACGAGGACTCGTACCTGTGTGTGAGTGTTGGGAACGAGGACTGTGTGTGAGTGTTGGGAAAGAGGACTTGTACCTGTGTGTGAGTGTTGGGAACGAGGACTGTGTGTGAGTGCTGGGATTGAGGACTCGTACCTGTGTGTGAGTGTTGGGAACGAGGACTCGTACCTGTGTGTGAGTGTTGGGAACGAGGACTCGTACCTGTGTGTGAGTGTTGGGAACGAGGACTCGTACCTGTGTGTGAGTGTTGGGAACGAGGACTCGTACCTGTGTGTGAGTGTTGTGAACGAGGACTTTGTGTGAGTGTTGGGAACGAGGACTGTGTGTGAGTGTTGGGAACGAGGACTCGTACCTGTGTGTGAGTGCTGGGATTGAGGACTCGTACCTGTGTGTGAGTGTTGGGAACGAGGACTCGTACCTGTGTGTGAGTGTTGGGAACGTGGACTCGTACCTGTGTGTGAGTGTTGGGAACGAGGACTAGTACCTGTGTGTGAGTGTTGGGAACGAGGACTCGTACCTGTGTGTGAGTGTTGGGAACAAGGACTGTGTGTGAGTGTTGGGAACGAGGACTCGTACCTGTGTGTGAGTGCTGGGATTGAGGACTCGTACCTGTGTGTGAGTGTTGGGAACGAGGACTCGTACCTGTGTGTGAGTGTTGGGAACGAGGACTCGTACCTGTGTGTGAGTGTTGGGAACGAGGACTCGTACCTGTGTGTGAGTGTTGGGAACGAGGACTCGTACCTGTGTGTGAGTGTTGGGAATGAGGACTCGTACCTGTGTGTGAGTGTTGGGAATGAGGACTCGTACCTGTGTGTGAGTGTTGGGAACGAGGACTCGTACCTGTGTGTGAGTGTTGGGAACGAGGACTCGTACCTGTGTGTGAGTGTTGTGAACGAGGACTTTGTGTGAGTGTTGGGAACGAGGACTCGTACCTGTGTGTGAGTGTTGGGAACGAGGACTGTGTGTGAGTGTTGGGAAAGAGGACTTGTACCTGTGTGTGAGTGTTGGGAACGAGGACTCTTACCTGTGTGTGAGTGTTGGGAACGAGGACTGTGTGTGAGGGTTGGGAACGAGGACTCGTACCTGTGTGTGAGTGTTGGGAACGAGGACTTGTACCTGTGTGTGAGTGTTGGGAACGAGGACTCGTACCTGTTTGTGAGTGTTGGGAACGAGGACTGTGTGTGAGTCTTGGGAACGAGGAATCGTACCTGTGTGTGAGTGTTGGGAACGAGGACTCGTACCTGTGTGTGAGTGTTGGGAACGAGGACTGTGTGTGAGTGTTGGGAACGAGGACTCGTACCTGTGTGTGAGGGTTGGGAACGAGGACTCGTACCTGTGTGTGAGGGTTGGGAACGAGGACTCGTACCTGTGTGTGAGGGTTGGGAACGAGGACTCGTACCTGTGTGTGAGGGTTGGGAACGAGGACTCGTACCTGTGTGTGAGTGTTGGGAACGAGGACTCGTACCTGTGTGTGAGGGTTGGGAACGAGGACTCGTACCTGTGTGTGAGTGTTGGGAGTCACTTCTCCGGCTTGGCCCGGGTTCACAGACGGATTCTGGTTCTTCTCCTTCACTTGTCTGCAACACAACACAGTGTATTTCAGCTTTATTTTCAGTTTTATAGGTGTTTGTATCACATGGTTTGGTTGCCACTGTTGCGGATGAGGAGTTGAACAAAACTCGAACTGAATTGAGCTGAATAATGAAAGTCTTCTTCTATTTTTTTTACTTATAACTGATGTTTCTATCCATTAGTTTTCTTCTTCTTCTTGACAGATAGATGACAGCCTCAACAATACTAATATCAATTCATGAGTTCACACTTACATATAATTAGAGTGGATAAGATTTAATGCGTATTCGGCGTGCTGCCGGAGGGAGGGCTCCAAGCTCGGAGTTTTTCCCGAACCCAGAGTACTCCCCTCTATGTAAGTGTTTAGGACTAGAACTGTGGAGAAGGGGTGGTGGAGGGATGCTGCTAAACTATCAATGGAGTGAGGTGAGATTGCTGAATCTATCCATACACCTCTTATCATTGATTGCTGAGTGCTCTCCACTCGTGTTAATTAACTGAACGTGCTCCTCCCGAACTTTGTTAATACAACATCATTTTTGGAGTCTCCATCTCGATCGCTGTAGTGCCACCAACTGTCCAAATTTGTACTTATGTTTATGCTAATAGCATTTGAACTGTAAGGGCTAGAAACAAAATTATTTTTCCTTGATTCCTTGGCTCATGACGATTCGATTCATGAACATTTTCCCACATTTTGAACTTTCCGAAAAACCTAGACGGTTCATCCGATTTTCACCAAAATTGGCTCAAATCATCTTCAGACTGCGCTTTACAGTTAAGTGGAATCCGTATGTGTGTTTGGATGGAAACTAGTTATTTTACTTTACAGTTTTAAATATGGATATTGTTCTTACACAAATGCATGGCTTCGCTTCAGAAGGCCTTTATTCTGCACTTTTATCATGGATAGATGCGCTTGCACATTTATCATGGATAGATGCACTTTTATCATGGATAGATGCACTTTTATGATGGATAGATGTACTTTTATCATGGATAGATGCACTTTTATGATGGATAGATGCACTTTTATCATGGATAGATGCACTTTTATCATGGATATATGCACTTTTATGATGGATAGATGCACTTTTATGATGGACAGATGCACTTTTATGATGGATAGATGCACTTTTATCATGGATAGATGCACTTTTATCATGGATAGATGCACTTTTATGATGGATAGATGCACTTTTATGATGGACAGATGCACTTTTATGATGGATAGATGCACTTTTATGGACTTCAAAACAGAAACAGCCATTCACTGCCATTATAAAGCTTGGAAGAGCCAGGACATTTTTTTTAATGTTACTCCGATTGTATTCGTCTGAAAGAAGAATGCCATATACACCTAGGATGACTTGAGGGTGAGTAAATCATGGGCTAATTTTCATTGTTGGGTGACCTATCCCTCTAAACTCGAGGAGTTATGGTTGTCATGTACCTCTCCAGCTGGAGGATTCTCTTATCCTGCTCCAGGCGTTCAGACTGCAGGTCCCGCAGGAGAGCCAGCACTCGCTGCACTTCAGCATTACACTTCTCCTCCTCCTCTTTATGACGGACCGCTTCCGTCTGGAGAACCTGCACTCGCTCCGACAGCTCCGGGTTCCAGCGAGCAACACACTCTGCTTCACACACCTTCACTCCAGTCAAACAAACACAACAGAGTCAATATCAGAAATATTCTGAAAACCACTAGATTCAGGAATTGCATTGACTGACATACAAACCACAGGCAGAGTGATCTAATAATGGAATTTTTGTTAAAAAGTACTAAATTTAAAAAAGAAATATCACTAGAAAGAACATGCCATTCTGTTCCATCTGTGCCAATTCTGGGTGGTTCATATTACCCCTAATTTTATAAGGTCTAAATTTATCTTTACACTTCGAAATTAAAAATCTAATATTTACTCCACAAATCTAAAAACATTAATGAGCCCACAAAGCCATGATTAACAGACCCACAAAACGTGATATTCAACATAACACTATGTCACAGATCACTAAATTAGATCAATTAAACTCAAAACTGTTTTGAGTTTACACAACATAGTTATTGTTAACATTTAATGCGTTTTGGCCATTCATTTACACAACAATAGCGTTTTGAGGGCCTGAAAACGCAAACTTTTGAAACGGGTTTCAAAGTGCACGTTTTTGAAAACGATACTGTTATCGTCTCTGTGTAAACTACAAAAACATGAATTTGTGAAAGCGGTGACATCATGTGTGTTATGTCTACAGGCCCGTAGTGTTTCTTTACTCAGTGACATCGCCACCTACTGGCCTGACAGCAGAATACAGCGCTTTAACCGTTCTCACGGGCCCGTGTGAACGAGGATCATTTTGACAAAAGTTGTCGCCTGTACGCAAAAAACACATCCGTTTCTAGTACATCGCCGTCGTGTAAACGTACCCTAAATCGTACAAATGTTGGCATTCAGATAAAATTACAAAATAAACAAAAGTGTTTAATTTACTAATAGAAAAATAAAATCTTACCGTCATGAATGCTTGTTTAGATATTCTATCATAAAGTACAGTTGTACAATTGTAATGTTGTTTGTTCACATAATCAAAAATTATGCTATGAGTTATGAGTGGGTTGCGTACCATATCTATAAATAAAGGCTTTGGATGTGGAACAAACACAGACACTGATTAAAATTCAACCAACCAAAATCATACTTTATGTTTTTGACGATAGTGACTTTCTTTTTTCTTAGTTTGAACATGATGTTCCTCATAACTGCAACAAAGCAATAAATCCCATCCAGTATATCTGCAGAGGCCTGTGGGCTATATCCCATTATTTGCGCTGGCTTCTGTTGATCGGCGAGCAGATACTGTTATTAGCGCTGTAAAGTCTTGGGATGTTTATGAATGCTCCTCTTGTGAAACCACCACTACATGTGGCATCAAGACAAGAAGCAGGAAGGTATAATTATCCTAGATGGATGTCTGTTTACTCAAGAGAATAAAGAAACATTCTCATAAACTTTGATTGCCTCGACATGATGAACAAAAAGGGATAGCGGGGAGATGAGGACACATTTAGTGTCAGAGACTGTTGGAGTACAGAATTGCTGAAGGAAATATCCAGCTCACCCAGGGACGGTGACACCGAGGGGTCTCTAACAATGAATCGCACCCACTGACGGTGTTCATTAATAGCACATATTTGTTTTATAACCCAATTCGCAAAAGTAATTATGCAAATTAGGCCCAAAAATTGGGTGTGGAACTAAGAAGCAGCAACAATTTGGCCACCTAAAACTCTGCCATTTTTGCAGAAAGAGAGAGGAACAGAAGCACTTAAATTAATATCTGATATTATCTTGGATATTAGGCAGATTGAGCGTATGTTTACACGACAACGATGTGCTTCTCCGGTGCTCTTCGCGTGTCAATTTTTCGAGCACCAGAGACCGGAGAAGTTTTTCCTTTGAGTTTTCCGCGTACTGACGACATCATTGTCAAAACGATCCCCATTCAAAATGACTAAAAACGCTGTTTTCTGCTGCCAGGCCAGTAGATGGCGATGAAACACTAAAGACTGAACACGTAATACGCATGTGCATGACATCATCGTCTTTAGAGATTCGTGTTTTTGTTGTTTACACGGAGACCGTTTTCAAAAACTTGCACTTTGAAACTCGTTTTCAAAACGAGTTTTCAGGCGCCCAAAACACCGCTGTCGTGTAAACGAAAGGCCAAAACGCATACAAAGTTTTATGTTTTTAGTTGAAACGGTGTCGTGTAAACAGCCCCTTAGACTAACGTGCATGCAGCAATCCCATTGGCTGCTGTTTCATCAAATCACTTTGTCTAAACGCATACGGCATGATTAAAACTAATGAGCCGCAGTTGGCCAGGCATTAGTGAGTGGTTGACTATACAATCAACCAGAAGGAAGATGTGAGCCAAGAGTCATCACTGACTTAAAGCAACTATATGCAGATTGTTTTTTACCTTGATTAATAAGGAGAATAGCTTGAATGACTCTCACCTGGACCTTTCCTTTTTTACGTCTCTAGGTTTCATTTACAGGGTTTCTGATTATGTTCACCTGTGTCTTGTTTAGTTGCATTTCTAGCCCTGTATTTCAGTTCATCTCTCTCTCCACGACCAAAAACATTACAACCTGAGCCATTGTGCGATTTAACTGGATTGCAGGTTTTTGGACTGAAATTCGGAGAGCAAAATTGATGCAACTCTTTTCCTCTGGTGTTTCTCCGCACGTACTGTACCTCTTTCTCTGAAAGACGCTCTTGTAGGGAGGCGAGTTTGCTTTTCAGTTCCTTATTTTCATTCTTATGCATTTCTGCCTCTTCTATCTGTCACAGAAGATAAAGTAGTGGTTAGTCATTTGCATACAGTAAATATTGTTTGGTTTTTTTGGTCCACTTCTACCACATTTCCACCAAAAAAGAACTGGTTCGGAGCTGGTGCCGGTTCAAAGTTGGTTCAACTTGCGAACCTTCTCAGAACCGGTTTGTTTTTCCACTGACTAAGAGCCCAGCGAACGCCGTCGTTACGTCACTGTGTGCGTCGCCATACGTCTTAGCTTTCCCATTCCCGCCGTGTTGTTGGTCACAGTAACCCCCCCCCCCCCCCAGCCCGCGACGTAAGCATGACGTGGTGAAAGAACGGTTCTAGTCCAGCAAAGAGCTGGTGCCGCTTTGGAACCAATTTTCCTGGCCGAGAACCGGTTCTTTGGCTGTCACACAGACACACAGACACACAGTTTGTGTTGTCACACAAACACACAGAACTGGTTCGCGAGTAGGCACCGGCTCCGAACCGGCTCTAGAAATGCTTTGGTGGAAAAGGGGTATTCTAGAACAAAGATGGTGCTTCAGTGCAGTTTTATTTTCTTAAAGCTTCTCTGGGCAGGGGTGTCCACTCCGTCTCCTGGAGAGACATGACCACAGACTTTAGCTCCAGCCTAATGAAGCTCATGTCTTCAGGATCTCTAGAAACTCCCGGCAGGTTTGTCAGAGATGAACTCTTCAGGCAAGTGTGTAAGTGTGTGTGTTTGGAGCTGAACGCGAGCACCTTCTCCGAGAGAGCCTCCTCCAGTGTAATGAGAGCGGTGTCGGTGTTGCTGGAGTCGTTCTGCAGAGACGTCACTCGGTTCCCCAGACTCTCCAGCTGCTTCTCCCGGTCCTTCAGCTGCTCCTGCAGGTTCTCAGACTGACACACACACAGACTTCATCACTGTGAACAATTCATTTGCCAAGTAATTATGAGGAGAAATACTTAACATAAACCTAGCATGGGCCGAATTTAAAAAATAAATACAACTACTACTAATAATAATAATGCATTTCCAGGAATTGGTTACATCACTTCAGTTACGGCTTCAGCAAAGATGCAGTGTGTATGTTTCTGCAACTAACGGCTGATAATCTTCATTGATATATATTTATATACACTCACCTAAAGGATTATTAGGAACACCATACTAATACTGTGTTTGACCCCCTTTCGCCTTCAGAACTGCCTTATTTCTACGTGGCATTGATTCAACAAGGTGCTGAAAGCATTCTTTAGAAATGTTGGCCCATATTGATAGGATAGCATCTTGCAGTTGATGGAGATTTGTGGGATGCACATCCAGGGCACGAAGCTCCCGTTCCACCACATCCCAAATATGCTCTATTGGGTTGAGATCTAGTGACTGTGGGGGCCATTTTAGTACAGTGAACTCATTGTCATGTTCAAGAAACCAATTTGAAATGATTCGAGCTTTGTGACATGGTGCATTATCCTGCTGGAAGTAGCCATCAGAGGATGGGTACATGGTGGCCATAAAGGGATGGACATGGTCAGAAACAATGCTCAGGTAGGCCGTGGCATTTAAACGATGCCCAATTGGCACTAAGGGGCCTAAAGTGTGCCAAGAAAACATCCCCCACACCATTACACCACCACCACCAGCCTGCACAGTGGTAACAAGGCATGATGGATCCATGTTCTCATTCTGTTTACGCCAAATTCTGACTCTACCATCTGAATGTCTCAACAGAAATCGAGACTCATCAGACCAGGCAACATTTTTCCAGTCTTCAACTGTCCAATTTTGGTGAGCTCTTGCAAATTGTAGCCTCTTTTTCCTATTTGTAGTGGAGATGAGTGGTACCCGGTGGGGTCTTCTGCTGTTGTAGCCCATCCGCCTCAAGGTTGTGCGTGTTGTGGCTTCACAAATGCTTTGCTGCATACCTCGGTTGTAACGAGTGGTTATTTCAAAGTTGCTCTTCTATCAGCTTAAATCAGTCGGCCCATTCTCCTCTGACCTCTTGCATCAACAAGGCATTTTCGCCCACAGGACTGCCGCATACTGGATGTTTTTCCCTTTTCACACCATTCTTTGTAAACCCTAGAAATGGTTGTGCGTGAAAATCCCAGTAACTGAGCAGATTGTGAAATACTCAGACCGGCCCGTCTGGCACCAACAACCATGCCACGCTCAAAATTGCTTAAATCACCTCTCTTTCTGACATTCAGTTTGGAGTTCAGGAGATTGTCTTGACCAGGACCACACCCCTAAATGCATTGAAGCAACTGCCATGTGATTGGTTGATTAGATAATTGCATTAATGAGAAATTGAACAGGTGTTCCTAATAATCCTTTAGGTGAGTGTATATATATATTTTTAACCCTCTGGTGCTCTTCACGTGTCGGTCAAAAATTACTGACTTTTTGTCATTTCAAAGAAATGAATGTACTATATTACATTCTTTTTTTATTTAATATTTTGTATTTTTAGGGGATTTTATTGTACTAAATTATATTTACGCTGTATTTATAATCAATTTATTAACTTTTTTTAGCATAGACCTGAAAATTAAATTGGAGTAATTCAATTACACTGTGGTAAATCTTGAATGCTTTGGATCACAGACTGAAGTTTGATCTCTTTTAAAAAACGAGACTCGGCAGATTATTGCTGAAGTGAAAAAGTTGGAAAAAAGTGAACTTAAAAAAAGTTACAGAATTTTACGTTTATTGTTATGAAAAATGCACAAAAATACTGTTTTAAATTTTTATATGAAATATGTATTTTCAAAAACATGTTTTACTCAAAAAAAAAAACCCATCAAAGCCATAAATCTTAACAAGTTGTGTTCAAAATTTAAGCTTGATATCTCGATGTTGTTCGGCTGCAGTACCAAACGCTTCCACTAGAGGAAACTCGTCTGCCATTCATTTCCAATGCGCTCATTTCTGTCCGCGAGGAACACAAGTGTGACTATTGTTATCAGGACCATTTAACCTTTTCGAATCATGTCCATTATATACTGTATATATATTTTGTGTGTTCATGCAGAGCAAAAGCCTTCTCAGCCTCCCCAAACCACCAACACCTCGGTATGTGCTGAATATGATTGACATATGTGTGGCCTTCGTCAGCTTGCTTTGACTTGTTTGTTTTACATTTCAGAAAAGTAATATTAGGTGTGTGATCTTTTGAATTTTGATTAAACTAAACTTAATTTGCTGTGCTTATCCAGTTGATTTGTGCAATGTATTTGAATTGACAAAATAAGCAAAAACTTATCTCAACTAACTTATTTGAGTTAGTAAAACTCAAAAAAGCCCATGCAAAAAAATAATAATGAGTTGATATTTGATTTGAAGTGGATTGGGTGATAAAAAGAGTGAATAAAAGCATTTCTCTTACACCATGCCGGATACGTTTACAGCTCTGTGTATCGTGTATTCAGATTAACTACGAGTTTCTGATCTGTGTGTGTCCACTGCAACTGTCTCTAGGCAAGATATGCTCCAGATTTCCATGTGAATTTGGCTGTAATTGGGAGCATCTGTGGGACTGTGAGAGAATCGCTGCATTGGTGTGTGTTTAAACAAGACTCTCTCTGTGCGGCTCTAAACTCAGAACATTTGTGCTCTAAATTGAGAGAGTTTGGCTCCAATTACATATGCAGATACACCACTGAAACCGCCACAGGGGTCGAGGCGATGACCGGTCGAAGCCGCCTCAATTTGTAGCACATCCTCACAAGTCACTTTCAGAAGTTTGAAGCATTATTGAGACGGAAATGTAGATTAAGTCTTCATATTTAGTGTCAACATCACAGGATCATATCTGAGACATATCTTCTTGTCACCAACATGCACAGGTGATATATGCTGGACAGGTCATCGTCTGATACAGTCAGTTTCTTCAACACCAGACTGACAATACAGTGTATAGTCAGTTTAATCTAAAATCCAACATACAGTCTGGAAAATGTTTTTCTAAACCTCTTAAAAGATTATCTGTTACTCGGTTTGAGACTGTGTGTTTAGTGTGTTTTTAACACATTATCTGGAATTCAGCAACACCACTTTTGCTATTTTTTTTGCCAAACCATTGACCAAGTAAAGAAAGAGATGCAGTTGTGGGCGGGGTCTGTGCTAATAGGGAGGAGTTTATCAGCAGTTGTGGGCGGAGTCTGTGCTAATAGGGAGGAGTTTGTCAGCAGTTGTGGGCGGGGTCTGTGCTAATAGGGAGGAGTTTGTCAGCAGTTGTGGGAGGGGTCTGTGCTAATAGGGAGGAGTTTGTCAGCAGTTGTGGGCGGGGTCTGTGCTAATAGGAAGGAGTTTATCACCAGTTGTGGGCGGGGTCTGTGCTAATAGGGAGGAGTTTGTCAGCAGTTGTGGGAGGGGTCTGTGCTAATAGGGAGGAGTTTGTCAGCAGTTGTGGGAGGGGTCTGTGCTAATAGGGAGGAGTTTATCAGCAGTTGTGGGCGGAGTCTGTGCTAATAGGGAGGAGTTTGTCAGCAGTTGTGGGAGGGGTCTGTGCTAATAGGGAGGAGTTTGTCAGCAGTTGTGGGCGGGGTCTGTGCTAATAGGGAGGAGTTTGTCAGCAGTTGTGGGCGGGGTCTGTGCTAATAGGGAGGAGTTTGTCAGCAGTTGTGGGCGGGGTCTGTGCTAATAGGGAGGAGTTTGTCAGCAGTTGTGGGCGGGGTCTGTGCTAATAGGGAGGAGTTTGTCAGCAGTTGTGGGAGGGGTCTGTGCTAATAGGGAGGAGTTTGTCAGCAGTTGTGGGCGGGGTCTGTGCTAATAGGGAGGAGTTTGTCAGCAGTTGTGGGAGGGGTCTGTGCTAATAGGGAGGAGTTTGTCAGCAGTTGTGGGAGGGGTCTGTGCTAATAGGGAGGAGTTTGTCAGCAGTTGTGGGTGGGGTCTGTGCTAATAGGGAGGAGTTTGTCAGCAGTTGTGGGCGGGGTATGTGCTAATAGGGAGGAGTTTGTCAGCAGTTGTGGGCGGGGTCTGTGCTAATAGGGAGGAGTTTGTCAGCAGTTGTGGGCGGGGTCTGTGCTAATAGGGAGGAGTTTGTCAGCAGTTGTGGGCGGGGTCTGTGCTAATAGGGAGGAGTTTGTCAGCAGTTGTAGGCGGCGCCTAAGCATATGTGACGTCACATTGCATAGAAACTGCAAACAGCTTATTTTGAGATACTGCTAATGATTTATGGGGATTTAAAAAAAGAGGAGTGGGAGGAAACATTTGCCCACAGCTGATTAGTATAGTATGTGGCTTTTACACACTTTGGTTCCTGTCTTGGTACTGTACTGTTGAATAAAGCATCCGTATGTAAAACTGCTGATCATCTGAATCGCAAGCTGAGGTTCTTCAACAGTCAGCTGTGCTTTTCGAACATGTCTTGTGTACCTTTTTCTGCAGGATGTGGATCTTCTTCTCCTTGACCTCCAGCATGTCCTTCAGGTCACATATCTCACTGTTCAGAGTTCCCTTCTCTTCGATCAGATCCTGGATCTGTTTGCTCTTTCTGTTGAGGAACGACTCTCTCTCCTCCAGACGCACACGCAGAGCGTCCACCTTCAGAAGCAAAGGCAATCCTCAATCATGGCTTTTATCTGTGGGCTTTTTGCTCCTTCTTTATTTGTCACTATTTTATAAAAGTCAACAGGGAATCATGGGCAGTGAAAGATGGAGCGAGTTTAACTCAAAACAAACCCAAATCTCCCACATCACCACAACATTGGGTAACACTTTATTTCGATAGTCCACTTTAGACATTCTACTTACTATAAGTAACTTTACAACTACATGTCAACTAACTCTCATTAGAGTATTAGTAGGCTGTTAGATTATGGTTAGGTGTTAGGAGAATAAGTCGACTTGTAGTTGGCAAGTTACTTATAGTTATAAGAATGTCTAAAGTGGACTATTGAAATAAAGGGCCCTATTTTAACGATCTGAAACGCAAGTGTCAAAGCGCAAAGAGCAAGTAACTTTGTGGGCGGATCCCGGCGCTGTTGCTATTTTCCCGGTGGGATAAATGCCTCTTGCGCCTGGCGCAAATCTAAAAGGGGTTGGTCTGAAGTAGCTTCATTATTCATAGGTGTGGTTTGGGCGTAACGTGAAATAAACCAATCAGAGCGTCATCTCACATTCCCTTTAAGAGCAGGCGCGCTTGTTCTAAAGCGGATTCCTATTATAACGGCGGCCACTGACTTTAGACTAGGTTTTTTCTGGTCAGTGGCGCAATTGTTTTATAGAACAGCAAAATAGCATGAGGGAAAGTTTGCGCCGGAACACGCCTCCTCTTTGCGCTGAACCGCCCCGGGGAGCGCAAGTGTATTTCTTAGTTAACCGACGTGTGTCTGTGGAGGGAAAAGCCCGCTTTGCGCGGGTGCAAAATAGGAATGATACATGCGTCAGTGTACAAAGTCATTTGCGCCGGGTGCAAGATAGGACCCAAAGTGTAACCCAACAGTGGAGCAACACTAACCCTCTTCTTCTGAAAGTTAATACAACAACACCATCTACCTTTCTCGTTCCCAGTTCTGTGAAGCTTATCAAATAAGAACAGTGATTTAGTTCTGTTATTCTCTATTATTTAAAGTGCCCTTATTATGTTTTAAGGACATGACCTTTCATGCAGTGTGTAATAGAGCTGGTTGTGAATGTTAAAGGTCTGCAATGATAAAAGAGCATGAAAAATAAAGTTATTGTCTCCTAAACGAAAGGAGTGATTCTGCACTGAAACGAGTCGTCAGTAATTCTACTTCCTGCTGAACCTGCGTAGGTTTCTAACTAATTTGCATAATTCCATCTTCTGGTGTTGATTGGCTGAGCAGCGTCTCTTAGCTCCGCCCTCAAACACTGTAGTGTATCTGAGACTGGGAGAGTTCGGTTCGTGTCGAGAAGACGCTGTTTTCTGAGATTGAGACGGTGAAACCCACGCCATCGTTACTGTTCGTATCACTGTGATCAAGAGCTGAGGTTCAGATATGATAATGAGCGTTCTGACCAATCACAGCAGAGCAGCTCTCAGAGAGGCGGGGCATAGAGAGACTGAATCTCCAATGGAAGCATTTCAGACACTGAGAGAAAGAGCTGAAGCTGCAGTGGAGATTATGAGGACATTAGTGTGTGTTTGATCATGGATGAATGTGAATCTATTGTAGGAGACGCCAAAACAACATTAGCGGCCTGTAAAATAGAATAATAATGGCACTTTAAGATGTTTCCTGGCCATTTTATAATCATAATAGACACCTATTCAAGTCTGATAAATATGCAGGTTACAGCATTTCAGACTATTAAAAATGCAGTGAGATGTGAGAGCTGAGGATCGGGTTACTCTGCACCTGAGAGGTTTACCGTTCGATTGTGAAAAACAAAACACACCAGGAAACACATATTTAGTGTCCAGTGAATAAATATTATATTTCATATGAGCTGTAGAGATGGCATGCAGCCAA